GGCCAGCCCAGCCTCAAACCATGACACCATGGTAGAAATCTGAATCTCTCTCTCTTTCCTTTACCCAGGCTCTAATTTCTCAAATTTGTGAGTACTTCTTATCTTTGATGCTTCAATCCCTCGCTCTAACATTGATTGAATGCTCAAAAGTTATCAGAGGAAGATTAACAAGAGACAAAAAACCAGGTCAACCTCTCTCCACATTGCCCAAGTGCCAGCATGACAGGCAAAATTATTCAAAGTATATGGAACATCTTGTAATGCAGTAGGACAGCGGCATCCTTTTGGAGAAGACTTGCATAGGGACAGGGCATATTCTTCCTTGATACGTAGCCTGAACAATGGTCCTAAGGGATTGAAAATATCTGTAACAGAACAAGGGTGCAGTGAACATATTTGCTACAGCTGCTTAAACGTACTGAAGAAGATGCATGCAGTGAGAGGTGGAGGTGGAAGACAGACCTGCCTGTCAGGATAAATCTAAGAAGATGCATCTAGATTTCCTCCACCTGTGCACTAGCGTCTTGGACAGGGGACTTGTGAATAAATCCAGGATCCGAAAGCCCTGTACGAGTGGAGCCAGAGAGACTTAGACCGTCACAAGGGATGTGACCATCATCACTTCTCACTTATATAAATTAACATCGAGAGACTGGGAGCGTATTCCTACTAAAATAGCCCCCTGAACCTCTCTTCACTGCATGATTCATGCTTTACTTGGAGCTGGCAGGAATTTAAAGGCCAGCTCAGAACATTTACCCTGCTATTTATAGTAAGTAGAGAGGTACCTGCAGCATGGTCAGAAAAAAAATCTCGGTATAACCTGGGTGGAAAACATTTAAAGAAGTAATAAAAAGTGTGGAGCAGAGAACAGCAAAACAGACATACAAAGAGAAGTTGGGCTAGCAATGACACAAATACACTACAAGAAAAGTGTAAAACTGTCAAGACTTCTGAAAAAGCCCGACCAGTATACTAATTGAGTTAAATTATATAAAAACCTATAAATAAATACACTGAATAAACAAAAGTTAAAAAAATATTCAAGGAGAATATCCTAAGGGGCGAAAACATCAAGAAAGCAAGTTATGAAGACAATACATATAAAGACTGAGTTACACGGGAATTCAGTCAGCCTGATGATACACACAGTAAATAAGATCATTGGTAAATTAACAATAGGAGATGAAAGGGAGCTGGAAGCAGAGTCAGGACATTTTGATGTCCTGACTTGCCATCCACAGAGATCTAGACATCCCAGACACAATGGATGAATGGGGCAGCTTGAAAGAGAGACTAGGTATCAGCATCCCCATATTTACTCTTTTATTAGCAGTTCTAGTTAAGCAAGTAGAGAAGAATCAGGCTCGGACAGATTAGCATCGGGCACTCTGCTAGTCAGTATAACAAAAGTGGGAGTAGAAACTGTGCAATGATTCATATTTAATGCAAATAAGGATTTTGGGGTTTTTTTTGTTATTGAAATAGCAGAACAGTTTGGGGTATGCTGAATCGGACTGTGTTTGGACGGGATGATGGAGACAGGTTGACAGCTGACCATATGGATGTTGTTGCAAAACATTTGTGAGGTGGGTTGTTGCAACATCAATGATTCTGTTAAAAATATATTTAAAAAAATCAGACCCTACTGGTAATGATACTATGGAAGTGATGAAAATATATGTAGAAAAAAGTAACAAAATATTACTAATAAGCACCAATTATTAATAATTAATATTACTAATATTTACCTATTATTGAAATAGGTTTCAATAAATGCATCAATAAGAAATTCTTGGTTATGAAATTTCGGGACTTTTCCACCAAGGCGATACCTTTTCACTTTGTCTGTTTTCTTTTCCCAAGAAAATTATTTTTGGGTGAAAGAGCTGACAAACCCCTCATGAGGTTTTGCATTGTAAGATTTATTTGAGTCTACATTATACAGATATTCATTTTCCTTCTTAGTTTCTGCTGAAGTAATCATACGACTTTTTGCAATAATATGCAAAATGTTAATAGTTAACTGGAATTAAAAAAAAATAACCCGGGTAGGTCTTCACCTAATTACAGACAATTTGAGGATCAGTATTTAGCATTAGAGGAAAAAAAATAGTATTAAAACAAAAAAAAGATGAGAAATGGCAGATGTAGACCTAACTGCTGACCTGTTAAAAATTAGCAGGATGTGGTTCAGTAGAAGAAATGGTGACGGACAGCAAACCACATACCATGGTTTCAAAAAGTATGGTACTGCTTATGTGCCAAACCCTAAAACATTAATTGAAATTAATTAAAATGCAAAGCACTGCTGGTTTCTGCAGAGTGCTCCTGAGCACTGTCACACTTCTCCCCCTCCAGTCCAGGCTGTGTACAGCATGCAAAGCAAATGTGAAAACTCTTACCTTGACCGGCCCTGGACAGTGCACTGCCAGTCTCAAGATCTCTCGGGTATTAACACACCGGTCAAAGGCAAAAGCTCTGACTTCTTGTAACTGCTAGGTGGTTTTGGCAGATGCACTCCTACTCCTGAGCAACTCGTGTAGCAACCGGGTGGAGAAGGGAAGAAATTGTGCAGGGATGAGCACTGGCTATTTGAAAAAGTTGCTCTGGGTTAAAGTTGCTTTATATACATATTTAAAGATATCAAGTTGCTTTGGGTTAAATATATTACAAAAATATAAATAGATAAAAATATATTGATAGCATATTTTTTCCTGGAAAAACTACAGAGCAGCCCTGGAGAGTGAAACTTGATTTTCCACTCTGTTCAAATTGTCCCTTGGCAGAGGTTTGGCCCAGCCCAAAGAGCACACTTCACAGTTTGAGAATTAGCATGAGCATAGAAGTATTTTCCGTAGGCAATTTGGATGTGGCCACCTTGTTCTGAAGGGTAACCGAGGTGGTTATCCCACATCAGTTGAACTCAGCACCATGTTTAATCTGCTAGTACAGAGGCAGGCTGCAGTTTTAGGCTGGCTTCCAGTGGCAGTGTTTGTTAACTCTGCAATCAAATTACTTGGCAATGTCTTAGGTGTTGCCCATGAACATGAGACTACTGTGTCCTGGTCCATGATGGCTTCATTGTTCTTAAGAACTTGCCAGCCTAAGCTACTGATTTTCCTCACTTTGTGGGCATAAACTGTATGCCAATTCTGATTTTCCATCCCTTTACACTTTAAATTTGTCTCAAGGTTATTAACCAGCTTTTCTGGTTAGGGAAAATAAATGGCATTTTGAGGCAGGGATGTGAAAGAGAACATAACCTCCGCTGCAGCAAAACAGTCGACCCACTGGCAAAACTTGCAAATTCTACAGCTATCTTGGAAAAATGACAAAATTATACAACTGTATAATGGTGCCGAGTTTATGGGATCACAGAATTAAAAGGGAGTTCCTCAGTGTTTGAATATTGTGCTGAACATTTCACTTTCAAACCAGCTTAACAGCATCATGAAGCTTAGTGATATTGTGAGCCTCCATTTTGGGTACTGGAGTTGCATAGGACCAGATGACATTGCTGTCGCTGATGTGAAGAGGGGACAACAGTAGATGACTGATGAAACCCAGCAGTTGTGCCAGTCTCGAGGGCAGGTGTTCAGTGCCGTGGGACAACACCTCGGGTGGGCCCTTCGGAGACAGTCACTGGTGCCATGGCCACACGGGGCTTACACAGGGCGGCCATGGAGCCAGGCCTTCCCCCCCCAGCAGCGGCCTTCCTGATGCTGGCTGCGGCCTGGTGCTGCCGACAGACATCGCTCTGCTTCGGCCCCCAGGGAGCCACGTCACTGCGCCGCCATTCGGTGCTGGGAACATGGAAATGGCCAGTGGGCAGGCGGGCGGTGGAAGCAACGACCACCCTGACGCCCACAGCCATCTGCAGGCTCCCAGAAATTCAGAGGCAGGGAATTGGAGGGGAAAAAAAGAGTTTTAGTTTAATTTGGTGGCAAATATTTTTAAAGATCTTCAGCCGTGAAAACCACAAACTGGCAGAAAGCTAGTTACAGCGTTTCACGCGCTGTCGGAAAGACAAAAAGACCCATTTGTTCAGTTCAGGTATCCAGGTACGACTGGCCAGGAACCATAGAGCTCCCAACGGGGCTAGAGAGGCCTC